AAGAGCAGCCATGTGCTTACCAAGTTCCAGACCACTATACCTGAAACCACTGAAGGCTGGCAGGCATGCCTCTGCAGACATTTCCATTACTGATAACACTGAAGAGGGTTGACCTCCACTCTCCTCTCTAAGACTTAATAATTATAAAAAAACAGAAGCAAAAATTTTATAATCAACCAAAGGGCTTCTGATTTAGAAACTGAAACAATATGTCATATTGCCAATGGGTTTTAAAACACTTTCTCTGACTAGCATTTATCAAAGTACATCATGACAGCACCCAGCTTCTATCCTGGTAAAAAGAATACCAACAAAGTTCAGAAACAGTTTGCCTCAGATGCCTCATTCTGTTCTTACATGAAGGACAGAGTGTACTGTACAACTTAGAAAGCATGTACCAGCAACTGCACTGTGACAGAGATGCAAAGGAGTGGCAATCCTACAGAAAGGATGAAGACAAGTGCTTTAATGCTACCTGCCTTTTTTGAGACTTAAACAGCTATGGCCCCTGACCAGGGTCTCTATCCTTTCAGCTGGCAGGTGAAAGTACGAGGGAAAGTGTTAGAGAGGAGAACATAAAGCAAAAGAACTGGTAGTTCAAGTCATATGGAGTTGATCACAAGGTTTTACCTAAATGTATGTTACACAGTGATAAGTTTATATATTACAAGAAGCAAGGAAATTTTACACAGCATTTGATAGAGCCTGTCTGAAAGGAACAGAGAGGAAAGACCAAATCTTGCTCAGCTGTGGCCACCTCAGGTTCTTATTGTGCTGTGTACAATCCAAGGAGTCTCAAACTCATTGCTGCAATTCTCAAAAAATTGGATTACCCTGCTTGAACCTAACATCTCCCTGGAGAGAGCAGAGATACCTATAGATCAGCCTCCTGGAGGACACACATGTACACATCCGCCTTGTCACTTAACATAGTGATACTAGGTAAAAAATAAACTTAAGATAATCTGAACCACAAAAAGGAGGGATGAAGGAGCTATTTATGTAGGAAAATAGGTATGAAGAGTAATGCAATAATAGTTCACATAGATTTTTCCTCTGGAATAGTTTAATTTAACTTCCAACCACACTGTCAGACATTGTAGATGGCCTACAGCAGTCCACCATGGTCTGTGCCATCTTATTTGTAACAGCAGTCATGCTCATCATAGTCCTGACAGCAACCTGGACAGCAACATCCCCTCATACTGCTGCAGCTTTCCCGTGACGTGTCCTGTACTGCAATCCCACTTTAAAGACAACGCTATGAATCCAGCATAATTTCAGCTTCACGGCCATTAAAACCTGTTTTCTATTATTCAGGACACCTCCCAGTGTTGTTAATGCAGAGGCAAACAAGAAATCCTGGGGTGAATGGAGGAGCGACATTGGCCATTTCCAGGTCCATGAGCTTCTCCACAAAGCTGATCAACAGGTACACAAGGTTTCACTGGCCCCAGAGGACATGTGCTTTTAGGTGCCAGCATCAATTTTGAAAACTGAAATGGAGGCACACAAATCATTTACTCACAACCCAGACTGGAGTACTGTCTGCACTGCATAATCATATGTATGCCTGAACAGACATGTTTATTGAAACTATATTTTCCTTTATGAGCTGTAGACATTTCAAACTCAGCTACTTTCTGCTCTTTTCAAGATACTACATGGCATTTTGCCTTTCACTGGGGGGTCACAAAGGGGCAGAGGGGGAAAGCAGTAACAAGTAACAATTATTTGCTCCCTGTTCCCATAATATAAAACCAAAAAAAGTTATGCTGAAGCTCAAAGAGAAATATTTTTTTCTGGTATAGTTCTGGATGATTGTTATGTTTTCTTCCTGATTCTGGTTACTATTAGAAACAACATAGTTCAACACATTCACTAGCAGGTGGTCCCTGCGCCCTGACCTTGTAAAAGTCATGAAATCTTCATTTTTTCCTTATCAAGCCACAAAATAATTAAGGAAACTGGTTCAAACAGAATAACCTATTTTTTGCTTAATGTGGTTTTAATACTACTATATAAGCCTGATACTAGTTCAAATAAGGTTGTTGTGGGATAAGATAAACTTAGCAAAAATCTGTAAATTGATTTCACAACTTTAGAGCATGCTTCAGAGAGAAAGAAAAGAAAACTATGATGATATTTCTCTAAATTCATTTTAGGCTCATATCAGTATCCACTGATTCTTATAGGTAACAGTACAATTCCCCTGGCAGGTCCAAAAGACATGAATCTCTAAATATCGGCTACTCCAGTGTTTTGGCAGCAGAATCGTGTGGTTTAAATTCAAGTGCTCACAACTCAAAACACTAGCTCATTTTTTTTCTTAGCTTACAAGCAGATACTGTGTATTTTGAAAAGGGTGTTCATAAAGAGACATATAAAGAATATTCCACTGTATACAAGTTTGTTTTATCATCAAGTATATCTGAAAATGATTCAGAAGAAAATTTGCTACAGCATTGTTGCTACAGCATGATCTGTGTGAAATATCATCCAGGTTCGTGATGTTACATATAGTAGCAGAGCTCTCTTTTTAAACCCCAAACATCTGAATCACAAATGTTCTGTCTTTAAATTTAAAGAAAAAACAAAAAAACAAACAGGGAAAAAAAAAAAAAAAAAATAAAACTCCAAAACCACAAACAAAAGCATTCAGTCAGCATCATAGTAGAAAGAAGCGAAAATTTACTAAAGCTAGAGGCACTTTTCTCCAGCTAGACATGCTGCACATAACCTCATGGCTATTTGGAATAGCACTACGGCAAAACTGCCTACTGCAATACAAGCAAATCTACGGCGTTTGCAGGAAACCACTCATGTCCCCGTCTGCAGAAATACACGGAGCGCTAAACAGCACCGGCCCCAGAAGACCAAATCGCTGCTAGAACCGGCCCCAGAAGCCCAGAGGTTTCTCTTTGCCGTCGGCTAACACCGACCTGCTCCCCCGAGAGCCGCCTGCCCTGTCGGACAGAGCCTGATGCCAGCTGCGGCTGGCTCGGAGCTCCTCACGGCAAGCGAGCGCAGGGCAGCATCGCTCACAGCCCGCGCTGCTCGGCGGGACACGGGGGACACGGGGGACACGGGGGACACGGGGGACACGG